CTATACCTCTAATCCTCATACATATACTTTGGGCTATTAATCACATAATTATGTTCGGTCATTATTCCAAGTGTTTCTTATTCACATAGTTTCTCTCTCATAGAGTCTGTTCACATTCCCTGGTTCAAATTTCACATTTACATATTCATATGATCATAAAACAGAACTAGTATTATGTAAATGGAATAAAATATTAAAATATAACAGAAAATAAATATATAGTTTTCGATCGAAAACACGGAGGTTGGCTTATCGCAAGTCTTCCTCAATTTTGTTGCAAAACTGAGAAGTTGCACTCACCTTTGCCTCACGGAAGTTCTAATCCAAATCCTTAACACCTTTCAAAAGATACTTATTTTGTCGAGCTGACCAGATTTCGATTACGTTCAATCACTACACAAAACAATCAGAAATCAATATCGTTCTTCAACTCAATTATCGAATCAGAATAACTTGGAATGTAAGAAACCCTATATATCCATTTCATGTTTAGAAGTATTGGTACTACCCTAACAGTATTGATACTTCCCTTTCAGGGTATCGATACCTCCTCATGGTACCGATACCAAAATAATATTCGATGTTTCAAGGGTATCGATACCTCCTCAAGGTATCGATACCAATCTGGCATTCGATGTTTTAATGTATCGATACCATCATTCAGGTATTGATACTACCCTTACAGTATTGATACCTCTTCAACAGGTATCGATACTACCCTTAATAATTTCCCAGATTTTACCCTTGAAGTATCGATACTATTCTAATGGTATTGATACTCTAAGCTCAGAATTTCCATTTTCACCCCAAAAAATCACTCTAAAATCCTTCCAATTGTCTCATATACACATATCTTTAGCCTTTGAACTCACCTTTATACTTCCAAACCAACTTGTACCCATTTACTACTCCTAAACATCCCAAATTCTCACTAAACAATTACATTTAAGAATCATGCCATGTTTTCAACTAAACTCTTACTCATTTCTAAAACTCCTAACCCTTTAATATACTCATTGAAAAGACAAAAATATCATTAAAATTTAAAAACTACTCCTTATCAATATTTCATTTCAAAACCCATTTTATAAATTAATCTTTAAAACACTCATCTTATTCTTATATTCCTCTACAAGCCCTTTTTAGGGATATATAACACCCAAGCTTTCATTAACAAATAAAAAACTTAAAGGAAAATCATAATTTCAAAATATTACCTTGTAGATGGGTCTCACTTAGAAGAAGAAAAGAGAAGGAAATGGTTCCAGAATTTACTTTGCTTTCTTTCCAAACCCATATGCACATCTCCATTAAAAAAACTGTACAAGAGGGTGAATTGGCAAAATGTATTTAGGGAGTAAGGAGAAAGAAAAGATAGACAATTTTGCACAATGATTTATAGTGGTTCGACTTCTCAACTAGGTCTACCTCCGCTACTTTAGCTCCTCACTAAGGATTTTCCAACAAATCCACTAATTTATTTTTTTCTTTTTCAAGGAAAAATAGATAACCTTTAGAAAAACTCCCTAGCTTTTCAAAGGCTCAGCTAGAACCAAAACCCTTTACAAAGAAAAAATGTAAACAAATAAAACATCTAAAAAGGAATGTGTTTACAAATTAAAGCTCATTATACACTAATATTTACAAGAGAATAGAAATAAAGATAAAAGCTCTTCTCTTGTTTTTGAATGCTTTGATAGGTGTTCTAACTCTTCTTCAAGTGTCTTGAACTTGTATTTATATGTTGAAATGAGTTTGTGGTCGTTTCTAGCCGTTGGGAGTGATTTGGAGCAGTTGGGGATGTTTTATCTGCAAAATAAAACTGCCCAGGACAGAGGCTATCGATACTCCTGTAGGGAGTATCGGTACTACTTTTGTAATATTTAAATTAAACTAGCTATTACTAAGCATTGGGCCTGATAGTATCGATACTACTATGTAAAGTAGTATCGGTACCCCTTTGGGTATCGGTACCATTTTTGCATTTGGAATTTGAGCAATGTTGGTAGTATCGGTACTACCTAGAGAGTATCGATACTTCTCTTACCTAGGGTATCGATATCACATAAACAATATTGATTATGTTCATATAGTATCCATACTGTAAGAACAGTATCGGTACTACATACGTGAAAATCAATTTTGTGCTCAAATTCACTTTTAAAAGACTTTGAATTAGTTTTGAAAACTTTGAACAAATTCAATTCAAGTCCAAAAATATTTTACCTTAAATTGTTATATCAAAATATTATAAAAACATGGTTTAATATAAACAGTAAAATTTTATCGGTAAAATTTTATCGGTATAATGATAATAGACATAAATACCAAATATCGATATTTTTATATATGTATGGATACTTTTATTCCAGTATGCTTCTCAAATAATTTGTACGCAAAATGTATCGATACACCTGTATAGAGTATCGATACTTGGAATTTCGAAATGATTGCTATAAAGTAATAGGTAAATTAATAATGTACACGGTAAACGTTTCTACCAATATAATGAAAATAGGCGTAAATGTACAAGTATTGATACTGTATACAAGTACTGATACTTATAATTTTGAAACCTATTACTTTAAAGTAATAGGTAAATTAACAATGTACACGGTAATATATTGATTTCTTTGAAAACAAATTAAGTAATTAACTTATTTTGTTATCGTCAGATTTTTAAGGCCCTATAAGCTTTAAACAGATGCCACCTATTACATTAAATGAGCGTTACTTGTTATGTTATTCTGGTTGATAATGTTTCCAATAATTAACTTATTTTATTATCGTCGTATTTCTAAGGCTCGATTAGCTTAAACTTTGGTAACATATTAGGTGTTACCTAATATGTTGATAATATTGATAACAAATTAAGCATTTAACATATTTTGTTATCGTCGAATTTCTAAGGCCCCATCAACTTTAAACAGAATCTACCTATTACATTAAATAAACGCTACTTGCTATGTTATTATGGTTGATAATGTTTCCAGTAATTAACCTATTTTGTTATCGTCGAATTTCTAAAGCTCCATCAGCTTAAACTTTGGTAACATTTTAGGCGCTACCTAATATGTTGATAATATTGATAACAAATTAAGTAATTAACCTATTTTGTTATCACCGGATTTCTAAGACCCCACCAGCTTTAAAAAGACACTACCTATTACGTTAAATAAGCGTTACCTGTCATGTTATTATGATTGATATTGTTTCCAGTAATTAACCTATTTTGTTATCGTCGAATTTCTAAGGCTCTGTCAGCTTAAGCTTTGGTAACATTTTAGGTGTTACCTAATATGTTGATAATATTGATAACAAATTAAGTATTTAACCTATTTTGTTATCGTCAGATTTCTAAGGCCCCATCAGCTTTAAAAAGACGCTACCTATTACGTTAAATAAACGCTACCTGTTATGTAATTATGGTTGATGATGTTTCCAGTAATTAACCGATTTTGTTAAAGTTAAAAAAATTGGCGAATTTTACATACAATAATGATATTGCCGATTATTACCATTATTATTACCAACACAATTAATATTTCTGGTGAAAACATATAACATTTACAATAGCGCTTTTAACTGGTCACTTATTTAACCAGTCACACCGTTTTTAGCCGTATTTTAACCGCCTCACAGCAAAACCTCCCGTTTTTGTGGCTATATATAATTTGATATTTCCTACCTTATATCAAATCAATGGTTTCAAATTCTTTAAAATTCATTTAGAGATGCGTTCTTTTTTTGAGATTTCGAATATGAGCAACTGCATTTACATGGTGTGTGTTGTAAGAGACTATGAAAATTCTGAACAAATATTATTTTGCAACTACCTCATGATTTTCAAAAATAAATTGAGTTAATCAATAAAATGAGTAGGTGTTAAAGTTTAAATGTCATAATTGATTTGTAATTACTCAATTTGAAACTTGGTGACTTATCTTGTCTCTAAACATCCATTTCTAATTCATTTAATTTGACTTATTATTTATGGAAATAAATGGATTACGATAGTCACAGGTGGTTCACTCTTTTTAATTTGGATAAAGGACTATAATTGATGATCAAACGATCATTAATTGGTATTAAAATATTATGTCTCCATGAGGACGTAAAAAAAAGGGGATTCTAGATCCATCTATCGGTCTTTATCGAAAAGTTTTATAATAACTCTTGGCGTTAGTATGTTTAAGGTCATAATGACTATTCGTAGGTTGATAAGATGGATAAATCCAATTAATATGATCAACTGCTAATTGATGAGATCTACCAGAAGTCTTATCAAAGAGGTCATGACTTTCCGAAAGATACAAGATTTTGAAAATGTTCTTCTAGAATTTCAACTACAAAAGAATTTTCCGAAAACCTTGTGCACAAAAATCAATCTTATGGAGAACATACAAGATGATACAACATTTATCAATTCACGTTGTTTTTTTTGATCTTATGAAAAAAAAATTGTGTGGAAAACGGATTAGTAGTGGATAAAGTAGTATGGATCATTTTATTAACATTTGCAGCTGTTTCGTCTAATTCTGCTTCGTAGATCACACCAATATATTATATATATATATATATATATATATATGTTCCTGCAAAGATAATAAACATATATTTAACGTACAGTCAAATATTTATGTATATAAAATCATAATCTGTCTTCATTTGGAGTCCAATCTCGGATTCAACTGATTTGTTTTTACATGTGTTTTCATGTGCCAATCTCTCATTAAATTATATATGTATAACACTAAATTCACTTTGTTTGTGAAATCCGGCACTTTGCTTAGCTGCCAAAGAGTACCAGCAGCAGCAGTTAAATCCACGGACAACACAAGATTTTATGTTAGGATGATAAATTTCTAAAGTTTTAGAAATGGCAAACTTCAAAATTCTAGAGATAAAAACAAATTATTAACAAAAAATTATATAAAAAAAATTAAAACTTTTAAGAAGGACGACTGCTTCCATCTGTCCACTTAGTCGATCCCTAGTTGTTTAGAAGAAAAACAAGGATGAACCAATTATTAGACCAATGGCTAGCTGTTTGTGTATGGGACAATGCAATTTGACCAATAAACTAATTTAGAAAACTAAAGCAACAAATGTCAATGTAAACAGTTTGCAACCGCATTAGATCTTATACTTTTGATTTGCTTTCCCCACTTATTTCTAGGTTTGAAAGTTTAATTAATGGGATTGTATTCAATAGTATTGAGCGGTAAACTTGACTCGAATCCAATTATCTGAATCATTTTATTCGATCCAAGACTCGACATTGATATGAATATAATAACTCAAATTTGATTTGAAACTTGATATAAACCGAATTGAATCAAAGTTTTCGAAATTTTAGATGGATCAACATGGATCCATACCTAATTTGAGGACCCACTCACTTATTTTGCTCTTTTTTCATATTATGATCCTGTCTTTTTTGAAGAGGCAATTAAACAATCAAAATGAAAGAAAGCAATGGATGATGAAATTGCAGCTATCGAAAGGAACAAAACATGGGAGTTAACTAAGCTTCCAAAGGGACATAAAACCATTGATGTGAAGTGGATCTATAAGATGAAATTGAAGGAAACAAGTGAAGTTGACAAATACAAAGCACGCTTGGTAGCGAAAGGTTATAGTCAGGAGTTCAACATTGATTACAAGGAGGTATTCGCTCTAGTTTCTAGGCACGACGCAATCAGATTGGTGATTGCATTGACTGCTCAAAATTCTTTTCCAATTTTTCATCTAGATGTCAAGTCGGCATTTTTGCATGTAGACTTGAATGAACATGTATTTATTAACCAACCTCCTGGCTATATTAAGTTTGGAGAAGAGCATAAAGTGTATAAATTAAAAAAGGTTTTGTACGGACTTAAACAAGCCCCTCAAGCTTGGTATAGTCGTATCAAAGCTTATTTTCTCCAAAACGGTTTTCAAAAGTGTCCTTATGAGCATACCTTTTTTTGTGAAAAAGGAAAATGGTGAAAATTTGTTGATGGTCTGCTTGTATGTTGACTATTTATTATTTATTAGGAATGATCAGACAATGTTTGATAAATTTAAAAAATCCATGATGATTGAATTTGACATGTCAGATCTTGGAAGAATGCTATGAGTCAGCAAAGACAGGCCCTCGCTCGATCTATGATATCAGAGAAGAATATAGTTTAAGATAGGTTACACAATCAGATGCATGTATTTTTATTTCTCAAAGGAAATATGTGCAGGAGATTCTAAAGAGGTTTCAAATGACGGACTACAATTCGGTTGGTACACCAGCAGAGACAAGTTTAAAGTTCGTAAAAATGATAATGGAAGAGCTGTCAACAATACTTTGTACAAGCAAATCGTGGGGAGTCTGATGTATCTCACTACGACCAGGCCAGATATAACATATGTTGTAAATGTTATTTGCAGATTCATGGAACATCAAAAGGAAATGCATCTTCAAGCAACAAAAAGAATCCTTATATATTTACAAGGTACAATCGACTATTTAATTTTGTACAAGAAGGGATAAAAATCAGACTTGATTAGGTTTACGGATAGTGGCTATACAGGAGACCAAGATGATAGAAAAAGTACATCTGGTTACATTTTTATGTTAGGGTCAAGAGTTGTTTCATGGTCGTCACGAAAGCAACCAATTGTCACTCTATCAACAACCGAAGAGGAACTTGTAGCTACATCAACATGTGTATGTCAAGCCATTTGGATGAGAAAGCTTCTTGAGGAAGTTCATTTCAAGCAAAAGGGACCTACTATTATCTACTGTGACAATAGTTCAACCATAAAACTATCTAAGAATCCTATTTTACACGGGCGAAGCAAGCATATTGACATCCGATATCATTTCTTGAGATATTTTGTGAATTATGAAGAGATTGATATGTTATATTGCAGAAGTGAGGATCAAATCGCAGATATATTTATAAAGGCCCTCAAACTTACAACATTTCAGAAGTTGCGACAAATGCTTGGAGTTTGTAAGGTGACAAATGCAAGGAGTTAGCAAGGCAGAAAGATTTCTTAGTTTAAACTGATATTAGAAATTAATATTAGTTTAATGGAGGATTTGTTAGACGTTTCAGTATTTATTATGGACTTAATCTATAGGGAGTTGTTGTTTTATATCTAAGTTGTTATGCTTTCCATGATTTTAGGAGTAAGTTGCATATTTTTTGCTTGTTTTGTTAGTTGTGTAACCTATTTAAAGAGGTTGTTTTGCTCCATGAATAACATGACATATTCCTTCCAAATTATCTCTTTTAATATGCTGCTCACGCAACAAACCACCACCTTTTGTATTATCTATTTTTGTTAACTTGATTAGATTCACATACAACTCAAATTGGATTGAGTCAAATTGAAAATTGACCGATCTGCTATTGCTCAAACTCAAAAATTAATTGACTCGGATTTGACTAAAAAATCGATTGATCTAATATTGGTCCAACCCAATAATTGATCCATCTAATATTTAATCCGAACTGAAAATCGATCGGTCAATCTAATATTGATCCAAACTAAAAATTGGTCTATCTAGTATTGATCTGATTCGAAAATTGATCAATTCTATATTGATCTGATTAAAAAATTGATCAATTGTATATTGATCTGACTCGATCTGACTCAACATATACTCGAACTAAATCCGAATAAGATATGATCCGATTAAAATCAAACTTAAAGACCCTTAATATTTTAAGAAAGAAATGTGTCATTAACAGTTCATGTTTTAAACATAAATCCCATCATATATAAAAGTTGAAGGGTTGAGAAGAAATGATGATACGAATCCTTTCTTCACATGGAAAACAATTATTGTTATATTTAGTTCAAAGCTAAAGGCCAACAACCCTAATGAAAAACAAACACTAATTCAATTCAATCAAACCACAAAGCATGGGCTTCAAGCAAAAAGAAAAAGAAAAGTTGAAGTTTTCCTCATCAATTGGACAAGTTTGCAAATGAGGGTGTAAAATCTATTGAAAACAGTAGTAAACCTTTGGACAAAATAACAGTCCTATTACAGAAATGGGTTTCTTATTTTTAACCAGTTATTGTCGGATTTCCCGACATCATGTGATCCTCTGCTCTGTAATAAAGGTAGTTAACATCCTAGAACATGGAGCTGTTGCAGAAAGGTTAGAGACCTTTTCATAAGACAAATTTGTTGGTATAATATTAAAATTAGTACATAATATTTATATGAATGATCTTTTTTATCATTTTTCTTTCTTTTTATCCTAAGGGTCCTTATTGAATAGAAATTGTTTGTTGATAAACATTCGCTACATATTATTAATGTGTCATTTCTATACATATTGAATTCATAAAATATCATATGGCACATTACTTTTAAAATCATGACATGACATGTGTCATGTCGTAAAATATAATGACATGTCATATATTACATCTCTCAAGGTGATAATTTAACATCTGACATGTCAACAATTAAGTATGAATAGAAATATCATATCAATAACACATATTGATTATTGGTCGATTAATAATTTTCATCTAATAGAAGCTATTCTTAAGACCCAGAATTGAAACATTAAGACTAAAATGTTTAAAAATAATAATAATAAAGACTTGAATGACTATTAAGATAAATGTGGATGGACTAATTTTGATATTATACCATTTTTCTATATCTCCTTCTTGCTTATGTTGGGGATCAGAGCATTGCCAAAAGTCAAAGTAAATTCTACTGTAATGACCGTGACCCACCACCACACACATTCCTATTTTTATAAGAATCCAAAGTTAATGCTTTGTTTTTTGACAGTAACACAAAATTTTATATTAGAAGATAAATTTTTTAAAATTTAAAAAGAAAATATTTATAAAATTTTAAAAATGGTAAAAATATTTTTTTATTAAAATATAAATAAAAATTTTAAACTATATAAAAAATTTAAATTTTCAAGATTATCGGTCGACCCTTCGGATCATCTCTATTTGTACCTTTTAGTTTACCTTTTACACCATCTCGCAGTCTGGTGTAGTAAATGAGAATATAAAGGATTTTAGTGGTTTTGTCAAACCTTGAGAAAACTAAAAAGGTCAAGAATGACGAACGGGAGAAGTAGAAGAAGAGCAAGAGAAAGCAGCCCGGAGAGAGCCAAGGTCTGTATGCAGCAGCCAAAGGCAATGAAACCCATCAGACGAGTTCAAGTTGTTTACTACCTAACCAGAAATGGGCAGCTTGAACATCCTCATTACATGGAAGTCACCCATTTGGTCAATCAACCACTTCGTTTGAGAGGTAAAATCCAAACCCCATTTGCCTCATTTCATCCTTTCTTGCTTGTTTATCTCTTTCCCTGTTGTTTCACAGATGTAATGGAAAGACTCACAGCTCTCAGAGGCAAAGGAATGCCCTCTCTTTACTCTTGGTCTTGTAAAAGGTTTCCCATTTTTGTTCTTAAACCATCAAAGTTGCTTTCTTCCCCCACCCCCTTTTAGCTAATATTGATGTTTTGATCCCACTAGGACTTACAAGAATGGTTATGTATGGAACGATTTAGCAGACAATGATGTCATTCCTCCATCTGATGGAGCTGAATATGTTCTCAAAGGCTCAGAATTGGTTGATGGTTGCTCTGGTCTGCCACTTTTTTAACCTCATTACCTTGAAAGTCTTCATTTTTAACCAGAACCCAACACTCCAAATGTTTGTTTGTTTGTTGCAGAAAGATTACAGCAAATACAAATACGTAAAAGGGAACCAAATTTTCAGGAACCAAACCTTCATCATCCCAAACAAAAGTCCTCAGCTTTTGCTTTGACTCGGCACAGAGGACCCCAAGCTGCAACATACGAAGAAGAGCAAGAATTCGATGGAGAAGAAGAAGAAGAATACGAACTTAATGAGGAGAAAACATGCTACACAAGCTCAACAACAACTCCTCACTCTCGTTGCTCAAGAGGGGTTTCCACTGATGAACTTGAATACCAAGAAAACAATATCCAAAAACCCATTGTTGAGAAGCAAGATCAAACCAAAAACACTGCATCCAAGCGGTTTGAAGATGGTGACACAGTTGCCAACGGCCGTAACTCCTCGGTGCTGCTTCAACTCATTGCATGTGGGAACTTAGCCGTTAACAAAGCCAAGAACATACCAAACAATGTGGTGAAGAAAAGTGAAAATTTGCATAGAGGGGTTGTTTGTAAATCTGCAGTAAAGGCGGTTGAAGATGATCACATGATAAGCTGCATGTCTGAGAATCCAAGGTTTTGTAATTTACAGGCAGAAGAGAAGGAGTACTTCAGTGGCAGCATTGTTGAGTCAATCAAGTCTGAGAACCTAGTTGTGGCTGATGAGCCACTGCTCAAGAAATCCAATTCCTATAATGAAGAAAGGTGATTCATTTGGCTTCCCTCTTAAAACCCTGCAATTTTTTCATTGGACTGAACTTAATGATTCATTTGGTTTTGATTTTGGTTTTGGTTTTGATTTTGGTATTGGTTTTGGTTTTGATTTTGAATCATCAGGAGCTGCAAGGCTGCACTGAGTGGAACAGTGGGAGAGGAGAAAAAGGACAAGGCAGTCAAAGGGAATTTTATTCCCAGGAAGAAATTACCAAAGCAAAAATGAGGGTTGACTAGATTCATATACTTATTGATGCAGTAATTAGTATTAACCGTTAGGGGATGTTATCATTATTAAGAACTCTCTTCTTCCCTTTTAAATGTGGTATATGTTCCATTTCAATATGTTGTTTTTTTCAAAAGAAATTATATGTTTTGAAAATTTTAAATTTTAAATCATATCTTATATTTTAAAAAATATTATAAAGTGATTATAGTAGGCATAATGTCAAAAATAGCCTCCAATCTTTACTAAAATGGTCATTTTATTCCCTATTTTTTTTATTTGAAGTATTTTGACTCTCAACATTTTATTTTAGGAAAAATGCCCCTTATTCTTTTTTCTAGGGCATTTTAACCCTCAATGTTACATTTTAGGTTAAAAAATACTCTTATTTTTTTTAGTATTAATTGTGTGTTAACTAATGATTTTTATCTATAGATGGAGTTTTTTATCCTAAAGTAAAATGTTAGGGGCCAAAATGCACCCAAAAAAAATAGTGGCTAAAATGATCATTTTGATAAACGTTGGGAGTTATTTTTGACATTATATCATTATAATATAATATATGTTAAGAATTTTCTTAATCAATTCACAATATATACACACTTTACAACACAATTGTTTGAACATAGAACTTTTAAGAAGAACACAATTTTCTTTTATCATGACACCGGTTGATGGATTTTAATCTTAATCTTTTAAATATGAGGCTTACACGGATCGAAAGGAACGAAGGGAGACAATTTCCTCTAGAAATTTTAAATTTTTGTATATTTTCTATTTATAATATATTTTCATCTTTTAGAATTCTAAAATTTTATCTCATCTTAAATTTAAATTCACTTCGTTAACATAAAATTATGTATCTATCATGCTTGCACCATAATGAAATTTTTTATGATACTTCAATAGTTTGTGCAATGACAAGCGATTTGACCAAACTGACATTATTTAACTGAATATTTACCTTTTTAGCACCGGTTGATATATATTTCTCGAAGTGGCACCCTTTCGGCTGAGTTGGCGAAAGGCGCGTCCCCGGGGACGCACTTTACCAGTGTTTTTGCTGAGTTGGATGCCATTTGTGGAAGGCGCATCCCCGGGGACGCGCCTTCACTGGATTCTGATGACTCGACTGCCACGCTGATATTTTGTTTAATAATAAATATTTTATTTTTATTATTATTATAAATTAGTAATATATTATGTAAAGTGTTTCGATTATAATGTAAGAATTATCAAATGTATTTTGTTAATGTGTGTTAAAGGTGGATTGAATTATCTACATTAATATGATAGAACAATATATGAAAACCAGTTTTGATTTTATTGTAGTTATAGGAAAAATGTATGAAATTATAATATTACACATATGGTTATATTATTATTTTTTATTTTGATTATCGATCTATTAATTTTATCAGTTAATTATTTAAATGTTATCAATCTAGTCATCTCTTATCAATATTTAACGAAATATTGATGCATAAGTTAAATTAGTATAATTACATATTTAATCATCAAGACTTACATATTTTATGAAATTAGTCTTATTGAAAATTTAATTTAATAAATTTAATCCTCCAATCAGAACATGAAATGTGTCATCGTATACATAAATTTTTTAATAACTTTTAATTTGTTTAATTTAATATTTTTCTCTACTTAGAAGGTGGAATTATTATTATATTTTAAAAAAATTTATAACTAATAATATTAATTATTATATTAAATAAATATATTGAAAATATTTATGTATTTAAAAGTTAAAAAAAATTATTTAGGTGTACATACATTGACAAATTATATAAATGCAATAACATTAAATTATTAGAAACAAAATATTAATTTAAATACAATATTAATTACATAAGAGTTAACGGTTATATGATGATAACAGAGCTGGACATTTTTTTCTATTGTGCCCGATGTTTCTACAATGCCCACATCGTTTTTGTTCTGTTGACCTCTCCCGAATATCCATATCACAATGTATTCTAGTAGATTTTGGACAACCTGAGTCCCTCAATAGCAATGGATCTGGTACAATTGTAAGCCAAGTTTGAATCTCATTTGGGTCTCTTTCGTTTCCTATGGGCGAAAACTCAAATTCATATACCTTGAATACTTGTGAAAGTTGGTATACGAGATCAACATAATTTTTGTAGTCCAAATGCGAATGTGAGCAAGCTTCAATGACATGAGAGCATGGATATTTGAGTGCTTGAAAGAAACCACAATCGCACCACCTCTCTTGTAGATTAACTCTGAAAGAGTTAACTCCAATCCCTTGCAGCGAACGTGGTATTTCGGTTACACGAAACAATTCACGGGTGCGAGAAAAATTTGTAACTAACATCCCATTTGATGCATCCATTTTTTTCTGTAAATCAACTACTAGTCTTGGGTGGTAAATATGGTCGTTTTGCATCCAAGTAAGAGCTTGTCCACCGAGCTTTGCAAAGAGTTGACCCAAATGAAAATAAGTCGTTTTAACCAACGCCGTGACTGGTAAATGACGCGCCCCCTTTAAGGTTGAATTTATTGCTTCAGCCAAGTTTGTTGTCATATGACCATAGTGATACCCCCATCATATGCATTTGTCCACATTTCTTTGCTGATGTCCATAATGTACTCGCACCCCTTCTTATTTTTTTCCAAACAGCTCTTGTAGCATCGACTCAAACCTTTGAGGTAAGAGTTCGTAACCTAAGCCATTAGGAATATGTAATAGTTAATATGAAGTATAAATAAGTAATAAGAAATTGATAGAAAAATTGGGAAAAAGTAAAATACCCATCCGCACGACTAACTGACATTCGTCGTTCTTCTTGTATTTTCCGTAATAGTTTGCAGCAATATGACGGACACAATAACGATGTTGAACATGTGGAGGTCTATACATTGTACCCAAAGAGTCCATTGCTGCTTTTATCCCGGCTCCTCGGTCTGAAATAATGCATACTCGTTCCCTGGTGACAACATGTAAACGTAAATTTTTAAGGAAAAAAGCCCAAGACTCAGTGTCTTCTCCTTGAACGAGGGCAAACGCAACAGGAAGAATATTGCGGTTTCCATCTTGGACCACAGCCAATAATAAAACTTTCTTGTATTTCCCATACAAGAAAGTACCATCAATTTGGACAACTGGTTTACAGTACTTGACCGCATTAATACACTGAGGGTAAGTACAAAAGACACGGTAAAATTGGCAGCGATCGCGAACCATTCGATCATTCACGTAATGATGTTGAGTTTCGAACTCAACAATTGTCCCGGGATTAAGTCTTTGCACAACATGAAACCAACTGGGCAGCTCGTTGTAAGAGGAATCCCATTCGCCATGAAGTTTGCAAATGGCATTATGTTTTTGCCAACCACGCTTTTTTATATGAGACAGTGTACCCATATTGTGACTGTATAGCATAAATCAACACTGCAACAGCTATATGAGAGCTTTGCTTCATAATGGGCATGATTGCTTGGCAAATAATGTTGGAGTCCAAGTTGGGATGATCCTGGTTTATACCGGTTGCACAAAATGTATGAGGACCGTTGTATCTGGTTAGTTCCCATAAGTTGTTCTTCATCTTCCTCTTTGATACACGGACCATCCATTGACATCCGTTGTCACGTTGGACGCAGTAGCAGACATATTTCTCCGTGTTAGATCGATCAACTCGGGACTTAACTGAGTTACGAATATTGTAACTCTTTATTGCCATCATTGCTTCCTCCTTCGATGCGAACTCCATTCCAATATGTAAATTACCGTCATTGACTAATGATTGAAGTCCATAGTTGCCAACATCATGAAGATCTGGAAATTCAGGCTCATATATTGCATCATAATCAGCCTCATACATATGTGCAAGAAGTTTGGCTGGTGTTTTATTTATCGGAACGTCATCCTCGTCATCATCAGAATGTACATTAAAATGTGGTGAGTCAGGTTCAACGAATAATCCCGTTTAAGCACCATCTGCACCTGGCTCCCGAAGAGGTTCTTCTGGTGGAGATGAGGGTTCCTCCGATAATCCAATGTTGAGGTCAAATAAGTTCCCGCTTGCGTGTCCTCCACTTGAACTTGAGGCCATTGTATCATGTGGGATGTGAATAGACTGTCGTCTCGTTGGCATTTCCATATGTAAGTCGAAAACATTGGCAGATGAATGTCTGACCCTTGAAGTAGAAGAGATGTTGCCATATGGATTATTGGTGAAGCCACGTGGGTTGAGATCATAAGCAGTTGCAGATGAATGCCTTCCTATTGAACTTGATGGCATGGTATCTGGCGTTGGATCCACCATTAATGATGTGAAATCATTACAGATCAGTTGTGTTGGGCTATCAACTTGATCAGCTTGATATGCAATGCCAAAGTGAGAGGAATATGAGAGACCACGAGTTGCACAAACCTCAATAAAAGTGGCATACATTTCAATAAGAGATTGTGAACTCCCCATATGAGCATCATCCATCAAAGAAACATCATCATCGTTTGAAAGCTGAAATGATGTATACGTGAGCGGAAAATGTTCAGTAGGAAATCTGTACTGAAGTGAAGATAGTCTTCTCTGGCCTGCTACACAAATCTTTAACGAAATTTTTGTGATTAACTCCTCAATTGTGATGTTTCTCTTCAAGGTTAATGGGATATAATGATCTGACTCAAAAACAACCCCCTCTTCGGCTTCCTTAATTTCTTCATCATACAAAACAATAGTAGAAAGACGACTCATTTTCAGAGAATTTGAAAATTTAGAGTTTGGGAATTTGAGAATTTGAAAGCTTGTGAACTGAAGTTTGTTTTGAAAGTTTATAATACGTTGCATATAATAGTGTCTATAATCGGAGTACTATTCACATGAAGGCGTGTTCCCAGGGACGCGCATTCCATTATTTTGTCAGAGAATATGTTATCATTGCCCTATTATGTCACTCATGTCCCTCGGGGACACTATTCATATCAGTACCTATTATTTCTCAGGGGACTTGAAGGCGCGTTCCCAGGGGCGCGCCTTCCATTATTTTGTCAGAGAATATGTTATCATTGCC